ACGAATTGTCATATCATTTGTCTTTGAAGTATTTTCCACTATTTTGTTTGACTTTAGATTTGAAGATTTTTGAAGAATATTCCCATTGAGCCATATAACGTTTTGCAATGTCTCGTTGTCGGCGTAAAACACAATATATACGATTATATTGACTAGACGATAAGAAATCTTGTATTTCAGTGATCCAGCTATCAAATTGCTCATTAGTAATGGCTGCAAAACGACTTAATGTTTTACTGATTAAAGGCCGATCTTCTATCGGTAGTTTGTTGAGATATTCTTCAAACTGTTTTGACTTCTGTTTTGGATCAAACTTAACTACTGACAAATGATTACTATGAAACTTAGCGGCCATGGTATTGATACCACTAACTCTTCCCATACTAAAACTGCTCGAATGATCGATTAAACGTATTTTTGCTTCTATTGCATTATCATCATCAATACTAACTGTTTTTGGTATTATTATTAAAATATTTCCTTGATTACGACCAGCATTTTGTATGATATGATCAAATATATCCATTTGTTCCATTATTGATTTGCTCAGCAGTATTTGTCCTTTTTTCTTTAGTAAATCTTTAAATTTAATAGTTTCTTCATTTTCATTCTGAGCATCAGTATGTAAAGTTGCTAAATTATTTTCATAAATTGCAATCTGTACTTCATTCATAGGCAAACCAAGTGCTTTTCCTAAAACATATGTTAACCATTCATTAACGGCACATAATGGAATATCTTGTACTTTGATTAAAATTCGTTGACCTTGGGGATCACGTATCCATGTACACGGTTGGAAAAAAATATTATTCCAGGAGGGTAACACCATCATTTTAAATAGAGTAGATGATGAACTTTATACCGAATGAAAGCCCGTGAAAAATGGGATTCATTGATACTAAATAGTAAGGATTATGAAGGCCTTCGTGTATTGAACTCTCGAAACTTATTATATTCCATTGATATGAAGTAAGAGAAAATTTATTTCCGGAGCGAAATTCAAACTAAATGTGTTCCAAAATAGTTTATTTTTTTAACATTTAATGAATAGAATCAATAATGAGTGTGACGACCGTTAGCATTCTTCACTGCACGGAAGCGTGATGGATACGAACGTAAAAGTGTTTCAAATCAATCGA